GCGTCCGTCGCCGTCTTTCTGACCTGGGACGCCATGCGGCCGGGAGGCGCCGCCGCGCCAGCCGGGGGGCTCCCGGCTCGGCTCGCGGCCGCCCGCGGCCGGGGGCGGGGCTCCCGGCGGTTAGCTCTCTAGCCGAAACGGCTGTGGACGCCCCTGCTGCCCCTGCGCAGTCTCAGACCCCTAGCGTCGTGAACGAGATGCGGGACGGGAAAATGACCACAGCCACTGCTTCTTGTTTGCGCCGCCTTCCAGCGGGCCGAAAAAGAGGCAGTGGCCGTGGCCATTTCCCTGGTGCCAAGCTCAACGAAAATGACCACAAGACCACAGTCACTGCTTTGTTTCTGCGGGCTGGAAGGCGGCAACAAAAGAAAAGCAGTGGCTTGTGGTCGTTTCCACGCCCTGTACAAGATCACGGCGGGAGATGTTGTTGCCTTGTCGGCATCGGGGAGCCCTCGCCAGGCCCCGGGACCGTCACAAGCTCAACCAGCCGCGACACATGGGGAAGGGGCAGATGGTGCGCGCTCGATGCGTGTGTACATTCCCCAAACAGTGCTTGCACTTGTCGGTCCTCGTAGATCGCACCGCGCATATTTCACAACATATATTGTACAACCTACATTCCACCACATGCTCCACCTAGGTTGCACAACATGCATTGCACAAGCTGTGCTGGAGCACAGAGACTGCACAACACAGATTGCACAACATGTATTGCACCACGCGAACTGCTTCACATAGACTGCACCACTTAGATAGCACTGCATACAGTGTACAGCGTACCTTGCACAACATAGACTGCACAACAGAACTTGCACCTCACAGCATGCACAACCTAGATTGCTCCACACATGTTGCACAGCAAATCTTGCATGTCATAGGTCGCACAACATAGATTGCACGACATACATTGCACGACAGAAACGGCACACCAGGCACTGCACCACATTGAGTGCTCCACATAGACTACACAACATACATCGCACAACATTGGAGTGCAGAGCATCAATTGCACGCTTTTGACTGTCCATGATACATTCCACCGAGTAGACTGCACCACGCAGATTGCTCTACATCGATTGCACAACATATGTTGTACCTGGTATGTCGCACAACTTGTACTGCAAACTACGGGTTGCACAACATAAAGTGCACAACATATGTTGCACAGCCTAGATTGCACCACATCGATTGCCCACATCGGGTGCACAACATACATTGGTAGATGTACACTGTTTGGGGTCGACAATGGCTGACAGTACGTTTACATGTACACATCCATATACACATACAGATACATACGCATACACATAAGCACATACACAGACGTATCCACAATCATGCGCATACACATATGTACACATCTACACAGGCAAGAATATATACACATACTTGCACATGCACATGTACACATACACATGGATTTGCATATATATATATATATATACATTTACATGTACCTCGGCTTTACATACACGTTACACATACATATACCTGCACATATACACTTGCACATACATGCACATGCACCTATTCATATACCTATATATACATATACTTACACATAGACATCAGCATAACCATATACGCATATCCATATGTATGTCGCTGTACAAAAAATGCGTGTATAGTTAACGTGCGTGCTACCGAGAACAGAAGGCGGAGACGTTGACTTGTCGCACATGTCGCTCTTGCTTCCGCCGCCTCCTTCCTTCCAACCCGACGCCAGCTTCCGCCAGTGGGCCCGCCACCACCGTACTTTCTCTGGTCTCCCGCTTGCCTCCGCCGAATGCGAGATGAGCCGGATACGAGGCCCGTCCTGGAGCGCACCACAGGCATATGTGATCCAGGTCCCGGGTGCCCCCCCCCCATACCATGCTGATGGTATTGGACCCCCCCCCCGATGGGCCCGGGACCCCCCCCCCCCGTTGGGTGTGGTGGTGTGGCCTGTGGCCTGTGAGTGTGGGGTGGTGGTGGAGCGTGGGTATGTGAACTGGGGGCGAGGGGAAAGGAGGGAGGGAGGAGAGGGAGGGACGACGACGACGGCGACGACGACGGCGACGACGACGACGACGGCGACGACGACGACGACGGCGACGACGACGGCGGCGACGTCTTCCCCCCGCATCCCATCTGGGGGGAGGGGGGTGGAGGGGGGGCCGCCAAGTCGTGTGACCCATCCCATCTGGGGTGGGGGTGGGGGGCCGGCGGACTGGGAGCCGGGATCACATATACCACACATGTCTACATATACACACCGAGAGTGATCATGCACAGATGTTCACGCATAGTGAGGGAAGGGTTTGCATGTGCCGATATCCACACATTTATATCTACACACATGTGGCGATGACGCGTAGCAGCCACCGTGCCGTAGGCACTAAGTGAAGTGTCCTTAGGTCCCCTGGGACTCTCCGCAACACTGTCTCTCAACAGTTTGAGGGGCCCAGACCACCAAGCATTCCCGCCGGGGCATGTCGCATGACTGTCCTGGAGGTCTCGGGAGCGCGGTTGGAGGCCCACGCCTCCCCCATGCCCTGAGACCGCCCCAAGGGACCGTCCTGGGGCGTTTTTTGGGAGAGCACATTGGGCCGTCTTGAAAGCCCCGCGGCCAGTCCAGCCAACCAGAACATTTGATTCACCTCAAGAATCGCCATATGAGTTCCGATTCCACTTGGTCCCCCGAGACCGCGAGCGGGCCACAAGAGGCCATCCAAGAGGCCCCCAGAAACTCAAGAGGTACACGCGAGGCCCCAAGCGACCTTCCAAAAGGCCCCCAAAGAGGACCCACAGAAGCATGAGAGATGCGTCCCAGAAACTCCCCAAAGGCCCCCAAGAGATATGCATAAGGGCCCTTTGTACACGAACCAGGCACGGAGGCGGGATGGGCCAAAGGCAGATGGCTATGTGTATACAAGCATCCATATATAAATACAGACGCGTGTGTACATGAAGAACATACATGTGCACATGTACAGACCTACCAGGATACCAACCTATCATACATACACGTTTAATTATAACTGTGCACATACCGACAGAAGTGTGTTACACGTCAACAAGGGCGAACGTCGATGAGTACATGTATATACAGCATGCGATTGCATATGTAATTCACATCACAACATCAACTTACAACGAACCTGCCAATGGTGCTCAAACGCATGCACGACGTAAACCGGGAATCACGCGGGGGGCAACTTGCGATAGGCGACCCAACGCGCAATTCCTTGGCCTGCGCAGGGAAACTGCAATTTACTTCGCCACGGCACCGTAGCAGGAGTGTCCTGCGAACGCGGCCGAAGCTAAGGCCCCCAACTCTCGCGCCGCAGCTCTGCGAATCAACACGAAAACTCGCGCGCCGAGAAAAATTGATGATAGGAGGGGAAAGGAGGAAGACGGAGGAGGACAGGACGAAGAAAAGGAGAGGGGGCAACGTGGAGGCCAAGGAGGCTCGCGCGCGAACCCGACTGCTTAACACCCTGGCCCAAGCCAGAAATAGAAAAGCACGCACCACAAAAGGGGGGGAGAAACTTGCTGTTGGTAGAGCGGGATTGTTCGCGTCAACTGACTGACTCGGATTTCGATGGTTTTCGATTGCCCATTCATATCGGCATCCCTTCCAAATCATCAGAAACGTCATCATCACCATCGTCCTCGACATCATTTCCACCACATTTTCCTCACACTACCGTCATCAATCATCATCGTTGTCGTCATCATTACCCAGGATCGCCAGAGGAAGGCCGACCTCCGGCGCAAGATGGGGGAAGGCAAATGGCAAGGATCTAAGGTTGTGTTGCGAGCCATCCGCAATTCAGTGGGCCTACTTCGGTGAGACCACCACTCGGCATCGGCCCGAAATGTTTCTGCAAGCGCCGCCGTCAGGTCAGGGACACGCACTGGGATCTCCGGCAAATGCTGGGCCACGGCCCAGTTGACGACCCAGAAGAAATCTACTGGGCCGAGCGTGGCGTTGATCTTGCGTGCCCTCACATCCCGAAACACGTCGAGGCGGATCACGACAGCGATCTGCAGTTCGATTTCGGCTGTGGCAGCTTGGCCCAGTGCTGCTGCAGCAGCTGGTTCGACGGTGTGCAAACACTTGTCGTGGTGGCGCACGTTGCAGTCCAGTGCGCGCAGGTTCCCCGCTAAGAAGGAGCCTCGCTCTTGTGCGTGGCGGACTTCTTCTTCCCCGCCCATCCGCGCTTGCACGGTGCGGGCCCCGAAAAGCGCCACGGACGCATGCAGCAAGCAGCAGCCGCCGTCTGCGTGCCAGCCGTCGCCCCGCTGCCCCCATCATCTTCATCCATGTTGAGGGGAAACTCAACTGACTCTCGCCAAAAACCCACGACACCGCAGGAAGGGAGGGGAGGAAGGAGGAGGGGCGAGGGGGGGGGGACAACACAAACACTGGTGCGAGAAGCCCTGGGACCGTATCCGCCCAAGCAGGAGGGCTGGAGGCCCGAGAGCGCGGCCGACGGCGGTGCGCAACGACCGAAACAGAGAAACGGCACCGAGGGCTGACCAAGCCCACGAGAAGAACTACCAGATGGGGGGGGGGGCACGGCGGAGGTGGAACATGGCGGAAGTGGAACAGGGGAGGAGGTGACAGAGTTTACTGCGCACTGCGCAAGCTGCATCCCCCGCTTGACCGATTTTCCAAACCTGGGGCTCCCGCATTCGGGGGCCAGCGAGGACGAGACATCAGCCAACGAACTCGTGACGGTGGTGTGCGCTGATGGGGCTGAGCAAGCGCAGTAAGTGTTGCACAGCAGAAAGATACTGGTCAATGACGATCGATTTCTCCACACCCCGCTTTCGCAAGAAAGCAATACATGTCATGGGTTCGAAGCGCTCCTTGTGCTGCACGACCAGCATCTCAATGTCATGGGCCGTTGAGTCAAAAAGCGACCATGTCGAGATCACGCACCCAGTCCTACGGCCACTTGACAGCGACATGGGGCACGATAGCTTGCACCTCATCGCGTCGAAATGTGCGG